TGTTTTTTTTTTAGGTTTGCTATTTATTTTCATACCATATAGTTTTATTTTAATACTATATAATGCTAAAATTACAGGGTCGAATTTCCTCTCTTTTTGTCTTCAGGTAAGCTGCTTTAGTAAATTTATTTGATTCTCTTCTTTTCTCAGTTGTATAAACTTTGTCTCTTGTCTGCCAGGACACCAACTACCTAAACTGAATTGATTTTAATGTTAGATTTAGTCTAGAGTTCTATAATTTATTTATTTGATACTAATGTTTGCTACTTTCTGTATTTTTAATCTACAGTTTTTTTTTCAGGTCACATGATTTCGCAGTCCCATGGGACCACAAAACTTTTTTTGAACTTTTGATGATAACTTTTTGAATAGGGCCTCTCAACTTGCCCTACTCCATCCTAACCAACCACACTCTATTCGTTAAGTCTGTTCTAAACTAAATTTGATATTTTTTTTTTATATTAATTATATATTCTATTTTGATTTTTAATTTTAATTGATTTACTAATTACTAATTACTTATTCTATATTATTAATATAATAGTCCCAATCCATTATCGTATCAACATCCAAAAGTAGCACCTATTCAGGGTCTTCTGGGTCAATTTGAGTACTATAAAACATTTTCTCTTTAATGTTGGTATTCCACCAATATTTGCTATAACCTATGCAAAAATTGTGAATGTAACCCGGGTCATAAGTTTCATTGTTACTGTTTTCGAAGTCCAACTTATCATTGGTCCATTTTGGTGAGTTAATTAAATAGGTATTGTCGATATCTATTTTATTGTTTCCTTTACTATTATTAGGTTTTTGGGTTAAGTAATACCCCTGGTATATTATTCAGAGCATTTCTCTATAAAATTCATCTTTTAGCTGCTGAATTAACTCTCTCTGTTATCTTTCATTTTCTAGATATCGGTTAAACTCCTCTTCATCCCACCAATTGTTCCACATATCGTCCTATGTTTCATTCACCCTGAGGTCTTATCTTCTTCTACTATTTTTTCGTCAAAGTAATCCTCAGCTATTATATGAAAGATCTCAACTTTGTCACTTGAACTGTTGGCCTAGTTTTCTGGGTTTGGTTAGGAAGATTCTAAAATTATATCCTTTTTACGTAAAGGCTGTTCTTCCATCATTCAGGATAAAGCATCTGCATTGTTATATATTCGACCAGCCTGATATATTATAATATAATTATAAGGCTAGAGCCTCAAGATCTATTGGGCTCATCGTCCTTTCAAGTCCATTGTTTGTAACCATTTTAGGTCACTATAGTCAGTAACGACTATGAAATATTTATATCTCAGATATAAATAGAAGTATTCTACCACCTAAACCACAGCATAGCATTCTAATTCGGTTGCCGAATAGTTTCTTTTAGCTCTGGTTAGGACCTTGCTGGTATAAGCAATAGCATATTCTCTCTTATTCTTGTTCTTTTAGGCTAATACTGTACCAAGAGCAACTCCAGAAGTGTTTGTATGAAGGTAAAAGGTCATTTCGAAATCTGGGTACCTTAAAACCGGTGCTGAGGTTAAGTTACTTTTTAAATTTTGGAACGCTTGTTCTTGTAAGGGTCCTCATTCATAACTAATACCCTTTTCTAATAATTTATGTAGGGGCTTGGCTGTGGTCACAAAGTCTTGAATGAATCTATAATAGTAGAACACAAGGTCTATAAACCCCCGAAGTTGCCTTAGATTTGTCAGTGCTGAGAATTCTTTAACTTTAATGATTTTTTCTTTATTCGTTGGATGCCGTCTCTTTCTATCATGTGGCTGAGAAATTGTATATCTGCTCTAGACAGTTGGCATTTTTCTGGATTTAACTAGAGCCCACCTGTTGAATTTTGGTGAGTACTTTTTCTAGGTGTTCAAGGTGTTCCTGATTAGTATTTGAGTATATATTTATATCATCTAAGTATACCACCACAAACTTGCTATGTACTTATATAGAATGGTATTCATTGCTCTCTGGAATGTGGTAGATGCATTACATAACCTGAACAGCATGACATTAAACACATAGATGCAATGCTTCATTATAAATGCGGTTTTTTCCTAGTCTTCTAATTTTATTGGTATTTGCCAGTATGCACTGGCCAAGTTGAAGCTGGAAAACTACTTGGCCTTTTCAAAAGTTTCTAGCAGATCATCAATGCAGAGTAAAGGGTAAGCATCCTTTTTTGTTACAGTATTTAATTTCCTGTAATCGATGCATAGCTATAATTTGCTGTTTTTCTTGGAGACTATAACCATGGGGAGTCCAGGGGCTTTTAACTTCATAAATTAATATATTTTTTAATAATTTTTAGATTTTTTCTTCTAGAAAGTCTTATTCATCAGGCAAGATCCTATAAGCCAGCTGCTTAATAGACTTCATATTGCCAGTATTGATTTCGTGTTGTATCTCTATAGTTTGGCCTGGCTAATCTAGTCTGATTGCAAACAAATTGCCAAACTGCCGCAATAGTAGAACACAAGGTCTATAAACCCCCGAAGTTGCCTTAGATTTGTCAGTGCTGAGAATTCTTTAACTTTAATGATTTTTTCTTTATTCGTTGGATGCCGTCTCTTTCTATCATGTGGCTGAGAAATTGTATATCTGCTCTAGACAGTTGGCATTTTTCTGGATTTAACTAGAGCCCACCTGTTGAATTTTGGTGAGTACTTTTTCTAGGTGTTCAAGGTGTTCCTGATTAGTATTTGAGTATATATTTATATCATCTAAGTATACCACCACAAACTTGCTATGTACTTATATAGAATGGTATTCATTGCTCTCTGGAATGTGGTAGATGCATTACATAACCTGAACAGCATGACATTAAACACATAGATGCAATGCTTCATTATAAATGCGGTTTTTTCCTAGTCTTCTAATTTTATTGGTATTTGCCAGTATGCACTGGCCAAGTTGAAGCTGGAAAACTACTTGGCCTTTTCAAAAGTTTCTAGCAGATCATCAATGCAGAGTAAAGGGTAAGCATCCTTTTTTGTTACAGTATTTAATTTCCTGTAATCGATGCATAGCTATAATTTGCTGTTTTTCTTGGAGACTATAACCATGGGGAGTCCAGGGGCTTTTAACTTCATAAATTAATATATTTTTTAATAATTTTTAGATTTTTTCTTCTAGAAAGTCTTATTCATCAGGCAAGATCCTATAAGCCAGCTGCTTAATAGACTTCATATTGCCAGTATTGATTTCGTGTTGTATCTCTATAGTTTGGCCTGGCTAATCTAGTCTGATTGCAAACAAATTGCCAAACTGCCGCAATAGATAAGTAGTCTTTTCTTTTTGTTTTTCATTTAATGTTTCTACTTGCACTAATTCTTTAATATCATTTTCAGGGTTTGCGAAGGGGTTTTCTTCTTTCTGGTGGTGGGTATCTCTTCAATAGATATTAAGTATATAGCCAGGCTATATGCATTCTCTCAGAGGTTTACATAAAGTTCTTCATCATCTGCAGAGCCATCAGTACAATAACTTTCTACTTCTTCTGTTTCTTTTTCCTCATAATTGTCGAAGAAGTCACCATCATTATTGCTAAATTCAGAGGGTGTTTTGAGCTGGTCTTCTCTTTCTTGATATGCTAAAAACTTTATGTATTTATCCAAGTACTGAAGAAACAACTTTTTTTCGTTGAAATAGAGTTGGGCACACACTTTTTGGAACCAGTCTATTCCCAGCAGTATCATTTCTTCATTATTTTCGATGTGGTTGATATCATTACATCCCCAATACATAATTTTAGATCTGGCAGTTTTTCTAATACTCTTTCTCTTGTGCTGTTAGTAGTAACTACTACAGTGTTAGAGGGCTCTTTGATGGTGAGACCTAGTTTATTGACTAATTTTTTTGATAAAATACTAACAGCAGCCCTGAAGTCTAATACAGCTAAAATAGAGTTGTTTTGAACCCTAACACAATATTTTGCTACTGTTGGTCTGGAATTGACTTGGTTTTCAGCAATACGGGGTTCTTTTACCATCGTAATTAAGGGTCATTTAACGTGTTTGCCAGGTTGCACCTTTGTTTGGAGATTTGTAGCATCTGGGCATATGTAGCATTAGCTCTTTACTTAGCAGATCATTAGCAATATTGTAGGTTGGGGCTAAATCAACAACAGAAAGTCCACATCTTTATCTTGGTAGATTAGTTATAATAGGTTGGGGTATAATGTTCATTTGTTGTTTTGGAACAACTTTTTTCATTAGTGTGGCTTGAGTTGGTTGCTGAGTTATCTGGTTTGGTTCAGGAGCAACTCTTTTTCTTAATTTTTCATTCTAATTAGATTTACTTTCGGGTCGTTCTCGATACTTAATGGTATACAACTCTTCTTCTGTTTCTCAGATATAAATATCATATAGGTTAATATTTCTTGGCTATAATATATTACTATTTAAGTTCACAAAAGGTCTCCCAGTATTTTGGTATCATTCAGCAAGGCAATTCCTAGCAATGTGGTCTCTTTCTTCACAATTATAGTACTCAATATCGCTGTTTGGGGTTTGCTAGTATTGGGATAGTCTATTCTGATTGAGACAGAAGTTAACATCAACTCTGGTGGCTAATGTGGTAGTTAGTTTTTATAAGTTGCAGTCATCTGTTGCATTTTATGCATTAAAGCATTGATGAGTTGGCTAGTAGAGTCTTCTCCTTTTTTCCTTATAGTAATCATCTGCTTCTATTTTTCACATATTTTCAATAGCATCATCAAGGGTTTCCGGTTCAGCAATAGACATGAATGCTGTGATTTTTTCTTTTAGACCACCTATAAACATTTTAACAATATAGGTAGAAGGTAGTTTGTTTTCTGAGTCCACCTTTTTTAATAACCTTTTAAATTTGTAGGCATAGAGGTCAACTTTCTCATTTTCTGATTAGGTTAACGAATTCAATTCTATTTGCTATCTATAGTATTTTTCTGGAGTTGTGAAATACTTGATAAATTCAGGGGTAAAACTGAGGTTGGGTTAGGTTTTGTTATCCTAAAATTAAATATCATCCTTATGGTTACTGTACCAATTTGCAGCAATTCAAGAAAATATTCTAAAGCAATGACAACTCATCTTGGTTTGGGCCAGTTATTTGTATTGGCAGCTCTTTCAAATGCTTTGATCCATTCAACAGGGTCTTCGTCCTCAGTATCATAAAATGTTTTTACTTGAACCCAGTTGGTTTCATGTTCCTGGTATATATTTTCGAGATTATCTTCTTGAACAACCTCTGCTGCAGTATTTCGGAAGGCCTTGACAATATCTTTTAGGATATACTAGATACTTTTGTGATGATTGGAAGGTGAATAGGTACTAGTGAAGCTCTGGTTTCTGAAATTGAGAAGATTCTGGTGAACTTCTGATAAATCGGTAGAGGCGTTTGATGGCTTTTTCAAGATAGGTGTTGATTTTGCTTTGTTCTTTTGAGACATAATTTCAAAAGATTTTTTTTTTTTTTTTTTATTAATATAAAACTTTAATTTATAGATTTGTATAGAGGCTGAATATTATTTAATTCAATCTCACAGGCATCACTAATTGAAAAATTGTAAGTTGTGTTAAAAAAGGTGCTGGTCTAAATAGGATAACTTACTATACACTAATACTATTACAACTATTTCACTATAATACTATTACTATAATAACCAAACTCTAATAATATTAAGGCAATGATTGAGGTGTGGAAAAACTTGGTCTGAGTAACCAGGTTATTGTGGATTTATAGAGATAGTGTATAATTTATATAGGTCTCTTTTATTATTGTTTAGTGATTTAATCATTACCTTTACTTTTTTATTAACACCTAACTTCTTTTGTTAACAGGTACTGCAGATGGGTCCTGTGATCAAATTTGGCCAATCGAAAAGATGATACAAGGTCATAGTATCACAGGATCACGATTAAGATATAATGATATTGATCACATATTTAATCAAGGGTCATTTTATATATATAAGAGAGGTATAACTTATATAGTACAATATCTCTTTCTTCTAAATATGATGAAACAATGTACGAAAGTCACAGAGACAAGGCTACACTATAACAACAAACAATTTTTCAACAAGAAGATATAATGGGGTTAGCGACAAACACTTTTACTCTAATTTCAAAGGTTTTGGCACTTCAAGGTTATGGTTTTTATTCAAACAATATGATTTAAACTCTGAGAGTTATCTTTATTCAGGGAAGAGTCTCACAATTTATATACTTTTTTTATATATGTAATATAATAGCAACTATACTGATAATGCTAACTATCTTACCAATTACCACTATTATTATTTTACTAGGGTTTCCCATAATCACAATGATGAACATAATAATATCTATTTTAGAAATCTTGTCGATCCCAATAATACTAATTATTCTGTGAATTTTTGGAATTCTCAGAATTCTTAGAATTTCCAGAATCTGTACTATATCAAAAACTGCAGTAATTTCGGGGGAGTGATTTACACTTTCACAGTTTTCACATACACTCTTGCTACAAATAATTATCATTCTTTTTCTCTCTTTTTTTTTTTTTTTTTTTGCATTTGATCTTCCCATTCTATATATCATTTCAATTGACTATCGTGTACAATTTTTACTAATACTTTTTCTTTTTGATCTAAAGTTCTAAGCTTGTAGATTCCACTCCCTATTACTTCATATATTCGATACTGTCTACTTCACCTTTCTTTCAGTTTTCTTCCAATTTGAGTTGCAAGCTTGGCATTATATTTTAAAACTTTTTACCTAATTTAAAAGTTTGTAGGGATATTGTTGATCATAGTATCATTTTTGGTGTAGCTGCAACTTACAAATATTTTCTTGGGCTTTGATTCTAATTTCAAATAATTTGTCTATTATTTTTAACATTCGGGCTTGTACTAATAACTGGTATTGTTCATTGCCTCACCTTCTACAGGATATGTTTCAACAATTAATTCGACAGGTAAAACTGCTTTCTGTTCATAAGTTAAATAAAAGGGGTCGAATTTTGTTGTATCATATTTGGAGGTCTTACAAACAAACAAGATAGGATATAAGTAATCATTTCAGTTCTCTTGATATTGCTTTACATACTTTGCTAAGGCCCTACATATAGTTTGATTGAATCTTTCTACTAGACTATTAGTTTGGAGATAATATATAGATACCTTTTTATGCTTAATGTTGGCTTTTTGA